TGGTTTTCTTGGATTAACCCATGACTCGACCTAACCCGACCTGCCCTTTTCGTCCAAAACTCAACCCAACTATAAAATTAAAAAAAAAAAACCGACCCAAACCGATCGGCTCGGGTTGGTTTGGGTTTTGCCCACCCCTAATCACAATGCATTACCAACCTATACAAATAGAGATGAGAAACAATTTTTATTTTATTTTATTTTTGTATATTGATTCAAGAGAGAAGATACAATTGAATAGATTACAGAGAAAAAACTAACTCCTAATATTTGGGATACTTAACCACAAAATAATATTCTCATTACACCAAAAAAGGGCTTTTGCAGCATTTTTTCCAAGTGTTGCGGAGGTCGGTGTTGCCGTTGAGTGAAGACTTTTTGTAGCGTTTATTCACCGTTGTGAAAAAGTGTTTTGCAGCGTTTTTTCAACGTTGCGGTAGACCATTTTGCAGCATTTTTTAAACGTTACGATAGACTATTTTGCAGGGTTTTCTTAGCTTTTTTAAACGTTGCGGTAAACCCCATTTTGCAAAGTTTTTCCAACGTTGCGATATACCTTTTTGCAACGTTTTTCCAATGTTGCCGTAGACCTTTTTTTTACAGTTATATATGGTAATTGACTGACAAAACTGAAAATGCACTTTGTGATCAAAATTTGGAATTGCATAAAAATTGATAATTTTATTACAAAATTTTAAATCAATACACTATTAGAATGTGATACAATACAAAATTGAATCAATACAACATTTGGAGAAGATTCACTACATTCATTACAAATTTCTAACTTGGCTTTCGCTTCTTTAATAAATTCATGGAGTTCTTCAAATCTGGAAGTTCCATCCAGCAACCTATAACTCAAGAATATTTTATAACACATGATATCTACACGTTGAGCTTCCTTAGCCACAGTTAACTGCTTGTTCCAGTATCTGCCAATCAATCCATCAACACCCCATTCTCCAAAACCCTGCACGTTATCCATCTCAATCTCACTCTCTTGGTTCTTAGAATTGAATCCAGGTGGCATCGAAAACATGGATCTCCCAACACCATCAGTATCAATCCTATTCACCTTCCTCCTATCCCCAATGGTCGAATTCCCTCCTTGTAACCTCTGTGCAAACTGCCAATCCTCCTTGGACAACAGAGGCAGTGGCAGCCTTGGGTTCAGATTGACATTTGAGTAATAGTAAGATAAATATGCAGGATCAGATCTAAGCTCCTTCTCTGACGTGAAACCATGATAAATAGTAAGGTAAATGTTTCATCAAAATCGAACTCAACAAAAGACAAAAAACATAACAAATCTCTTAAAACGGTAAGACAAACAATAGGATTCAATAACCTACTACTAAGTTCACCAACAAACTATCATTATCAACAGAGTGATTTAATAAATAAAAAAAAATACCTACAAAGTTTGATCTAATACAGAAAATCTTAAACCACAGACTTAGAAGGCTACGACCCAACAAGGTACACAGAGCTTACAACAGGCTGTTGAATAATAACATAGAAAAAGGCACAACTAGACAATGTTTGGTGAAAAAGATGTACAGTAAGAAACTGCATATTAAATGTGAAGCAATTCAAAGGATAGAATATCAGAATAATTTTCAAAAAATTATCAATATGTAAGAGAACATCCAAAAGAATTGCTGTAAATCAGGTTGTGTCTTTGCTCATATTTAAAGATTTAAAACTAATCATTCAAAAAACGTATTTTTCAGGAACAAGCAAAGAATAAGTACATCGTGGCATTACCATTTTCATATTCCAAAGCTTGAAGTATCATCTCTATCTGTATGTAAAAGATGCAGATTAATCCACAAAGTTCCCTTAATAAGCACTTAGCGTATTAGTTACTGACAACAAGATATAGAATTGTCACTTCTTAAGTCCATAGCTAGAGGCATCAATTAGTTCAACTTAAATATTGAGAATTCCGATTTAGAAATGCAAACATGTCATACCTTGTCAAAATCTTTCACAATCTTAGCTTCTGGAGTAGAATTCTCTTCATATTCCATCCATAAATCATCTATCTCCTTTGCTGTCATGAGCATAACACAATCAACCAACAAGAAATAATATATCATTTTAAATTAGAATACAAATAAATTTAGTAAACTGCCATAGATATAAGAACAGAAGAGAAACAAACCCCGTGGCCCTCCACCAAGTAATTTACACATGTGCTCGAGTGCTTCACGCTCTCGTCGATTTTTTTCATGCTTTCGAATCCCATCAGAAGGAGTGATGTCCCCAACAATAGCTGTTGAATCAAGAACAAATTCCTAAATCTACTAATCCAAACAAAATTTCAGATCTAATAAATATTATTGGCCAAAACAACCTTCATCCAAAATACTCGGAACTCTGACAATTTTGAATTTCTGGTTTGGATTTCCAACATCAGTCCCACCTTTTAAGTATCAAATTATAATTTTCTTTAGCTCACAGTATATTGCTTATAAAGCTAATTGCAATATTTCAATCAAATTGAAAGCATTTGACTCTCTAGAAGTGAAAATAAAACCATAAGAAATAGTTCAAAATAGTCTTATTAAAGTTTGTGCTAACCTAAACGAGGACATTCTGTTTGCATGGAGGATGCACAACATGGATAAAAAATATAATTACTTCAAAAACTTATGATTCAGAATAACCCATCGGACCTTCTGCAATATCATGAACAATAGCCATTTTTATGCATCTGCAATGTAAGGAAATAAAAAAATTAGCCAAAAAAAAAAATATAGTTCATCAGAAAATATTTAGTTTAAAGACAGAACCGAAATATCTAAACGAATGTTGAGAGTGCAATGATAATTAATCAGCTTTACTTGTCTCGATTAATCTCAGGAATGTCAGTACAGATTAAAGCCATTAACCCCATCCGATACATATGATCCACAATAGATTCCGGGTTCTTAACCTGTCTTCACACACATCCTTCCCTCTTTGTTGTCTACTTGAATCCACAATAAAATCAACAAACACATAGATCAGGTAAAAGAATAAAAGTTGCAAGCAAACCTAAATAATGTACATCATAACATGATTGGACACCCCACACAAGCCCAATAGCAGATTTGCAGAGGCACACATACAAATATAATATCAGAAACCCTAGAATCAAAAATCAATACCCAAAAAGAGTTATCGATTAAGTAAAATCCAACTGAAAGAAACACGATGTGAGACCTGCTTGTACTTCCTCTACCTCCTCCCATCAACCGTCTCAATTTTGAACTCCGTGGAGAAAATATTTGCAAGGTTTGCTCCGTATCCATTCCTTCGGCCAGTAGTCTTCTTCCTAATTTGATAGTGTAAGATGTAAAAATAAAACGGTAAATGATTGAGGTATGAAGATTTCGACCGAGGTTTGAAGAATCGACCAAGGACGACTAGAAGATTTCTACTCTTGTCTGAAGATGGCTAGGGAGTAGAGGTGTCAATCAGGGTGGGGTGGGGTGGGGTGGGGTGGGCCCGTCAACATATGAGCTGGTAACGGCCTGCATAAAAAAAAGCCCGCCCGCTACGAGTTCCGGGTCAGTCCACAAATTTTGGACTACAACTTAGGCCCGCTCGCTGACCCATCCGGGTCTAGCCCATACGGGTCGCGGGTTGTTC